ATATATATATTTTTTCAATTATACTTTATAGATGATAACAATTTAACAAATGTAAATGAATATGTATTAATGTAAATAGACAAAAAAAATATTATTCTTATATAACAACATTATGTGTTTATTAAATATAATAAATGTATGTAGTAGTAGTAATGATATTAGTAAAATTTGAATATTAATATTATAATAATAAAATAATATATATATATATATATATATAGTATACAACAAAGAAATGTTTGAATTATTTATACAATGCATCGGCTGAGGGTGTCTATACCAAGCCGAACCGTGCTAAGCAGTTCCGTGAGTGGCCGTACAGTTCCGTGAGTGGCCGTGCAGTTCCGTGAGTAGCCGTGCCGTTCCGTGAGTGGTTGTACAATGGTTTGTATTAGGGATTTTAGGAATTATTTATAAACCATTTGCGTATGGCGAAAACTTTGTAAAATGTACATTGTTTGGGGTTGAATTCCATGTGAAAAATACAGCATGGTAGAGTCACATCACCACCACCGCATATTTGATCCAATCGAGGACAACCCATATCTTCGATGTTGACGAGTGCAACGTGTGGAATATGTTCCATGAGAAGTTGTTTTTTCTGCTCACCCTTCACGTAAATACAGTTGAACTTCAGTGAATTCAATACCCGGCTGAGCTCCTCGTACTCGACATCACCATATTCCAGAGATAGTTGATGATAATTACGTTCAAGCCATTTGTTCGTTTTCCGACTCTTGTTGTCCTGTTTAGAGTTGGAATTCTTGAAAATCCAGTGTTGGCACGCCCATGTTTCCGTGTCCACTACAGACATTTCTTTTATCATATATTTATTGTCAGCCCCGAGAACGCACTGAATGTCTACGATAGCAGACATTATTTTCGATATTTTATTCTAAAATATTATATCTATTCTCAATAGTCTTCAAACGTTTTTCCAGGACTGAAATAAACGACGCTAGATCTGATAAAGGTTTTCTGATACGAGTTTCAGACTCTAATAGAGATTTTGTACCTCGCCGAATATCGTCTTCCAACGATTTTATCTTCACTTGTAGATCTGTGATATCACCTTTCAGAGTACCTATCTCCGACTGCAGTAGCTTTGTATCGTAGAGAATCGTTTTGTTACTCGATTGAATGTATGAAATAGTATTTTTTCTACGTCCGTCCAGTGAATTATTGAAAATATCCATAATCAATATACATGTTGTCCATACGAATCGTATTATACTACTGAAATGAGTTTTCAAATACATGCTGTATTAAACCCGACTTTTATGTGTGTATGCAGGTACATCTATCGAGGTCATAGAGTATACTAAAAGTTAATTCTTCCTAACATAATTGTCTTCGATATTTTTCACACGTGTAAGTAAGTCTGAAATATACGATCCGTGATTGGGCAGGGAATTTTCATAAAATTCTCCATTGATATCACTTAATATATTATTTAAACGAGCGATATCTTCTCGAGTTAAACTAATTACTGTACTACTTTCGGCATAGTTATTAAATAGTTCTGAAACACGGTTATCAGAATTTAATAAAGACCTATTGTTGCGTTGTATATCACCCTCCATCGATTTTAATTTCTCTTCGAGATTTGTGATATAACTTTTCATACCATCTATTTGCCCCTTCAATAATTTTACATCGTACAGAATTGTTTTATTACTCGAATGAATATGTGAAATAATATTCTTTCTACGTCCATCGATAGAGTTATTGAAAATATCCATTATCGATACGTGTTATTCAGCTGAATATGAATATACTACTGAATTGGACGGTCACAATTTAAGGTCGCTAGCTTTTAACCAACTATCATAACTAACGCATCAAATCCCAACCACTTGACAAACACTTGATTACCTTTTTTACGTATAATTTTCTCGATTAAATACTCATTTCGGTGATTAGTCTTGTGTATTTCCTCGGAATAAAAACATCCAGCAATCGGTTTTCCAGTATAGTCTTGCAACTGATATGTAACGGGTAATGTTTTATTTATTTTGATAATTTCAAATATTTCCGTAGACCAGTTTGGTAAATAACCTTTTGTAAACACCCCTTTTTGAGTACTAACACGCACGTTATCACCTACTTTGAATTTAATTTTTACATTATTGATTTCACGTTGCTTTATTTCCACCGTAAGAGGGTCTGCATCCGCCTGTACCGGTGTCATTCCAATAGTTCTGTGTTTCGAATTATTATATTCTTCGAGCAACCCAGGTAGAATAGAAATCCATTCGTGAGAGCCTTGGGCAGTAAACTCTCTAAACATTTTCTCTTTTAGCGTACGATTGAAGCGCTCAACAATACATGCTTTCATGATACTGTATGTAGAATATTTGTGTATACCATATTTATCCATCAACTCATCAAACGTCTTGTTATAAAACTCCTTCCCATTGTCCAATTGTAGAAGTTTTGGCGAGCGATCGTGTAATATTTTAGACATAACACTAGTAACTTCTTTACCGGACTTTGTCCTCAAAGGTAGAGCCCATGCAAATTTAGTAAAACAATCAATTACACATAAAATATACTTGTAGCCTTTGTTTTTCCCCGAATATGGTATCATTTCAACCAAGTCAGCTTGCCACAAATCATTTTTTCCATATATGTTAACTCTACGCCTCGTGAAATTTTTCCTCGATGGTTTATGGAGCTCAATAGCAATTTCACGTTTAGACATTTGGAATTCGTTTGATTAACCCAGCCTCACGTAATTCTTCGAAAATAGATATTATCTCATTCGATACACCTGTATTACCAGCTGATTTCGACGCTAAAAGTAATCGAAGTCTATCGACCAACTCGTTTGGGTCGTCCCAATACACTAAGTTATTTCTCTGTACTTTCATAGATAGTTCACCACCACCGGTGGGGAATAATTTACTTATAATATTTTTATATTTTTTACATTTGGTATTTCTTATTTTTGAGCCTGATGCGGTTAAATGTGCTGATGTTTGAATTAATATCGATTTGTATACCTTTAAATCGTTATCCGTATAAATAGTGGGGTTTTTCAAAAACAATAGTTGAATAATACCTGAGGTTGTTGGATAACTACTCTCATCGATAATTATTATTCGTTGAGTGAATTTTACTTCTTTATCACCTAAGGTAATATCACCGTTTGCGAGTTTTTTCGGACCAAATGTTCTATCTATATCCGGTGACTGAAACCAATTTTCAATTCCTCGCTGATAATTCTCCTCATCGATATTAATAATTTCAGAATCCAACCCAACAGGTCTATCTTCTTTCTCAGTCTGATTAGTGTATAAATCACGTGTATTCGATATTTTAGTTAAAGGTTCTATAATAGGTTTGAATGTCTGCGCCATTAACTGTTGAACATTAGCTTCACCAGTTTTTAACGTAGAATATTTACGTTTTATACTTTCCTTGGCCTTGACCAACTCCTCTAATATATTACTACCATCCTTCATGACTGCGTTTTAAATGATACTTTTTACTATAAACACTAACTTATATAACCACATAGGTGTCGAACCCAAATCGATAACGCCCGTTATCACGTTCACTATCTTTACAAATAACTATAAATGCAAACCTATCGCGATTCCAGCACACAGTGCAAAATTGTTTGAATTGAATATATGACATATCACCGGAACAGTGTTCATTATATACATGTTTTAAATTAGTTTCATCTTGTTTGAACAATACTATTAAATTAGCATTATCGCGTATCAGTTGTTTAGGTACTTTCGAATAACTCTGAGCTAGATAGAATATATCTACTTTATTATGCCTCCCTCTGGAAAAATATTCCCTTATAACACCTTGCTGTTCCCCGATAACATCATCCATGATAAATATAGAGTTTGGTAATACTTTTTCAGGTGTGATGACCTTATCGTTCTCAAAAAATGTAAACAGTTTGACTCCATCAATACCATCGATAATACGTTTCAGTAATTTATACTTCGGTTGCTCCAGGGTTTTAGAGTATATGTAAACGTTTTCAAATCGAAGCCCGTTTTCATCAACGAGTAGAAAGTATATCAAATTCGTCTTGCCACATCCCGAACTCCCTAAGATCAACGATCGTATCGTATTTGGGAATAGGTCACCATGTCTATGCTGTATTGTATCGGGGGTATCAATGTTATATATTTGAAGTTTTTTCTCTTGCTCTATAAAACGCATTTTCCCTGGTAGATGTTTCACTATAAATACAAATGTACTGTCTGTGAAGGCGTCACACGATGTCTCACGTTCGTAAACGGAACAACAATAAGGGTTTGGGTCAGTACATCACATTATTCGATTATATCTAAACATTGTGTTTCATTACAGTTTTGCTGGCCCTGGTACTAAACTAAAAGAAAGGCTGGCACGAGGTGATCGAGGTGTAAACAGTCTGGATGAGTTGGCTAGAGCTCATGACATCGCGTATGATAGAAGTAATTCACTAGCGGATAGACACAGGGCTGATGAAATATTAGAAAATCAAGCTTGGGAGGTGTTTAAATCTAAAAACACTGGTATTAAGGAAAAAGCTGCATCTTGGTTGGTTACTACAGCCATGAAAGTCAAACGTAAGATGGGGGCCGGTTGTGGATTTAAACAAATGGTTGCGGCTGCTAAAAAGTCAATCAAAAATAAGCTGAAAGAAAAGAATATAACTAAACTGATAAGAACTTGTCTGACAGCGGCTAAAAAATCGAAAACCAAGAAAACTAAAACTCCTAGAATTATTCCAATTCCTAAAAAGGGAGGTGTTTTACCTTTAATACCTATTTTTGCCGGTTTATCTGCATTAGGTGCGCTTACTGGTGGTATCGGTAATATAGTAAAAGTCGTGAATGATTTAAAATCTAATAAAAACACCCCTATTCACTTAGGTAAGGGTTTATATCTCACGCCATATAAGGGGAGTTCTTATAAAATCGTTAAAGGTAAAGGTTTATTCCTAGCACCGTATAAAGGTGGATCAGTGGTAAATAAATCTAGAAAACCGACAAAAAACTAATTGACACGCTACCCGATAGAGCATTGTATGATTATGAGATTATAAAATACATTGACTTGTTGAAAATACCTCATTTCATTGGAGTATTTTCCCGAGACCGGTTGCCTTTACATTATAAACATTGTGAGTCGGCTATAGTTAATTTGGATGTCGAAAAGGGTGAAGGAACTCATTGGGTAGCGTATAGAAAAATCGGTAAACAAGTTAAATATTACGATAGTTTTGGAAATTTACCCCCACCACTAGAATTACAGAAATATTTCAACGATTGTAATATTGAATATAATTACGATAGACATCAGAAATACAATACAACAAACTGCGGTCATTTGTGTCTAAGATTTTTATCATGTACACTATAACGTTAAACGGTAACTCCAGTGAATTATCTTGTGACTTTTTCCCACCGATAGAAGTCAGTAAAAATGCTAAGATCTGTCTATTAGGTTTTCAGACAAACAATTCTATTCCTAATATAAACAGCAAGTGTAATCAAATAGGATTTATTAATAAGAATGATATGGGAGTTACAACGCCTCGCATCTACTCATTACCTACAGGCTCTTATGAGTTGAGTGAAATTGAAGCGGTAATAAAGCATATACTAACTGATTCAAAGATATCGTTCGAGTTGAAGGGGAATAATAATACGTTAAAATGTGAAATGCTGTGTAGTGAATCTATAGATTTGTCTATGCCTAATAATATCGGTGAGCTGTTGGGTTTCGATAAACGTACATATGATGCTAATGTTAAACATCAATCGGATAAGTTGGTGAATATTACAAAAACAAACTGTATATATATCGAATCAAACTTAGTCATGGGCTCATTCAATAACGGAAAGCAGTGCCATACAATACATGAGTTTTATCCGAATGTTCCTCCAGGGTATAAAGTGATAGAAATTCCAACACATTTGGTTTTTTATTCCATAAACTGTTCATCAATTACACATGCAGAGATAATATTAAAAAATCAGGATAACGAGTTAATCGATTTGCGTGGAGAGCCGGTATCAATACGATTGTTAATCAAAGACTTATGATACAATGGGTTTACAGTTTTATAATATAAATAGTCAGGCATATGAAAAACTTGCTAGTCGTGCCAGTGACATTATCAAGTCAACAACTCCGAGGAAAAAATATTTGAAATACTATAAAGTGGGAGGTATCCTAACAGCCGAAAATTTAACTTTTCTCCGCTCATTAAACGCTATTTAACATGGATGATATGTATTTAGATGTATCGGGTGGATATGTCGATGATTGTAGGATAACTCAAATTGATTATCATTCTTTTCTCCCTTATTCGACATCTGCTCTCTCCAATAACGATGAAGTGCGTATTGCTTTACATAACACAGAGTCGTATACTTTACCATGTGAAAGTTATATCTATATCGAGGGTACAATAACTAAACCTGCTGATATGACAGATGATATTCGATTTATAAACAATGGACTAGCATTTCTTTTCTCTGAAATGAAATATGAACTGAATGGGATTCAAATTCAGAAACTCACCAACCCTGGTATAACTTCAACATTGAAAGGATATTGTTCGTATAATAAATCAGACATTGTTTCACACTACAACGCTGCTTGGGATGATGATATTAAAAATGTTAATAAAGATTTTATCGAGAGTGGTGTGTTTAACGGATGTATTAACCTCAACGATTTGTTTGGGTTTTGTGAAGATTATAAACGTATTTTAATA